CCAGTCAGCTGAGGTTAGAAATCCTACGTCGAAATCCCAGCAAGTCCGGGGTGAGGAGGTAGAACTTGGGCCTCAGAGCCTCAGACCAAGGTGGGACCCTGGTTCTGAGAGTCCCTGGCAGGGTGGCTCTGGCCATCACGAGCGACTCTGAAGTTTCTCAGTGAAGTATGAGGTCCGGGATCACTGGAAAGATGAGTGAGATCGTCAGTGTAAATAACTTTGACCCGTAACATGCTGCCCAAATGGCAGCGTTCACGATTATGGCTAATACTGACCCTGCAGCCCACGAGGCCCCTGCCCCCAGCTGCTTCAGACCTGCCTGCAGGGGGCTGGGGCTGGACTTGGGACTCTGGACTTCAGATGAGGAAACTGAGGCACAGTGCGTCCCCTCAAGTCCTCAGCCTCCATGCTCCTGGGCCCGCCCAGGCCCCGGCAGAGGGGTCCCTGCTGTGTCCACGTGCAGGGCCACCACCCTCAAGTGACCGCCCTCTCTCCTCTCTCTGTCTCAGGGCTCAGCGTGGATCCTGGCCTGGCCGGTCTGCTGGGGCAACGGGCACCGCGCTCCAAACAGCCCTTCATGGTCACTTTTTTCAGGGCGAGCCCCCGTCCTGTCCGAGCCCCTCGGGCCGTGAGGCCGCTGAAGAGGAGGCCCCCGAAGAAAACCAACGAGCTGCCGCACCCGAACAAGCTCCCGGGGATCTTTGGTGAGGGCCCAGGATGGGCCTGAGGCCCGCAGGCTTTGGGCCACGAGCCAGGTGGTGGTGATGAACCCTCCAGGCTCTTGGTGGGCTTCCAGCTGGTGGTCACGCTCCAGCCACCTCTCCTGACTGTCCTCCTCTGCCCCTACAGCCTGGGGACTGGCCACTGCCCTCTCAGGCCTCTGAGCATCTGCGCTCACCATTCCTGCTGCCCAGAAGTCCCTTCTCTGCCCTCCCCTGGCTCTCTGGCCTTTCCCAGAAGTCTCTGTCAGAATGGGGCGCCCCTTCCTCTGGGCAGCACGGCCCCGGGTGCCCTCGGTTCTCCCCGGGCACCCTGCAGGATGCACAGTTCCTTATGCGAAGGTCTCCCCCGGAGTTCGAGCCCCTCAGGATCAGGGACGGGCCTGACCCGACCACATGCCCTCCTTTCCTCACGGGGAGTCAGCCTTTGGCTGGCCTCAGGGGGAGCCACGAGACTCTGTGGAACAGGTTGGCAGGAGAGGTGGAATGAGGTCAGGAGGTGTCTCCAGAGGAAAGGAGGACGAGCCCCTAGGTGGCCGAGGGTCCCCTGGGCTGTTTATTGGAGCATCAGGAGGCCCACAGGCTGAAAGTCAGGGGAGGCTGGGCTGAGCGTACGGTTACTCTGGAGCCATCAGGAGCCACTGAAGGTTCTTGAGCTGGGCCATGGCACCAGCAGAGCTGCAAGGATGGGCTTTACGGGACCAAAAGGTTTAGTTTCCCGTCATTCATTTAGTCAACAAATGTGCCCATCGGGGTGTCCCCCACCCTGGGAGCTCCCTGTGGTAGCTGCGTAGAGCAGGAACCCCCAAAAAGACTTCGCGCTGTCTGTCCCCTGCAGATGACGTCCACGGCTCCGACGGCCGGCAGGTTTGTCGTCGGCACGAGCTCTATGTCAGCTTCCAGGACCTCGGCTGGCTGGTAATTTCTGACTCCTCCTCTTTCTTAACTGACAGTCCGTCCCGCGTCCCCTCCCCCATCCCCCCCAGAGCCAAAGTGTTTCTCCAGGAGGAGGTGGAATTATGGGGGATTTCAACTTTCTTAGCTATTGCTTTTTTCTTTCTTTTCTAAGTTTTCTAAGGGGAGAATGTGTTGCTTTTATAGTGAAAAGTGCTTTTTTTGTAAAACTGTGAGAAAGGAGACTATCTGAACGCTCAGCTGCGATTGTAGGAACTGTGACAGGGAAGCCAGGCTCGGTGGGCCGTGCTGGGGGGCCTCTGCTGGCCCCGCAGGATGCTGGTGGTGCGGGGAGGGGCACAGCGGGCTCCAGCCCTGTCTGCTGGGGTCCCCGGGGGGACGCCGGGCCTCTGGGGAGACTGCCGAGCAGCTGAGGGTGGGTGCTGGGCCCTGAGGCCGGGGGAGGGGCAGGGCAGCCCTGAGTGTCCCGTGACAGGTGCTGGACGTGGGGGCTCGGAGGGCCCGTGGAGGGACTCACCTCCTCCCATTCTCCCCCCAGGACTGGGTCATCGCCCCCCAAGGCTACTCGGCCTATTACTGTGAGGGGGAGTGCTCCTTCCCGCTGGACTCCTGCATGAACGCCACCAACCACGCCATTCTGCAGTCCCTGGTCAGTCCTGCGTCCGGACCCCCGACGCCTGGGCGGGGTCCCCAGAGCAGAGGGGCCTCTGAAGCCGGGAGTTGGGTGGGTGCCGCTTGAGCCAGGGGGTGTCCTCTGCATGGAGTCTGTCCTGCACCCATGTGGTCACCGCCCTGTGCAGAGGCCGGTCCCTGTGGCCTCTGTGCGCAGACTCCCCACACCGGGACCTGCCTGCACCCCGCTTACACTGGCCAGTGCGCACACGCACATCCGTGCAGCACACATGCACATGCGGGACTGTCGCTTTCGTGTGAGGGGCGCCCGCACTGACAGGTGTGCCTGTTATCACATGCACAGCACATCCGTGACAGACGTGCATTGCCCATGGAGCCCTGTGAGCTCGGAACACACACACACCCGCGTGCCTGGCGTGTTCCCCTCCTGGATACACGTGCCGTGGGGTGATGACATGCGTGTGTGCCGCCCGCCCTCTTCGTGGCATGTTGGGGTCGGGGGTGCCCCAGGCACATCTGGGCTGTGGCTCCCCCTTCCCTTCCGTGTCCGTAAACGGTCCTTCTCAGCTCTGTGTCCCCCAGACTGTGTGGCTGTGATGCCCGGTGTCCGGGGGTTTAAATGCCAACAGTCATTCCCTGAGAAGTGTCCTTGCTGCTGCTCGTTGCTCCGTGTTCGCTCGTGTTTGCTGATCCTGGGGTTGAGCCTTCTCTCTAGAACCTTGACCTGGACTCCAGTCCCCTGTGCCCCGACGCTGATGTTTCTCTGGGAGGAGATTGTGTCAAGGTGACGCCTTAGGGTGAGAGTAACTGAATTGCGATGGCGGCTTGGACCCCCGAGGACGAGTGGGGTCTACTGGGCGCCCGGGTGCCACCTCAGCCGAGGAGCTGGGGTGATGGCGGGCGCCCCGGCCTCCCTGCCTTCGTGCAGGGCTCCTCTTGCGTGGCCCCTCCCGGCTCTGCCCCGCTCCGCCCCAGCCCCCACCCTCCGTGTCCCAGCTGTCGGTCACCAGAGTGAGCACTCCCGCTGTGCTGGGCGCAGACAGGACAGTGGCTGACCGCTCGGGGAGGCTGTCTGCGGACACTCGAGCAGAGGGGCAGCCAAGAGGCTGGGTCTGTGAGGAAGGAAGATGGCTGTTCATCGGAGGGGGGCTGAGCCTCTGCACGGAGCAAGAATGTTCCCGGCAGAAGGAGCAAGTGCAAAGGCCCCGGACAGGAGCAAGCTGGGTGGGCTCAGGGCCGGCAGGGAGGCGGGGACTGGCTGGAGCAAAGCGGGGGTGAGGGTGGAGGGAAGTGACGTTGGGGTGGGCAGGGGCCGTTCACGTGGCCTTGGGGTCCCTCATAAGGTGACAGGTGGGGGGATTTAATCCCAAGTGAACCAAGAGGCCGTTGCAGGGTTTTAGCGAAGCAGTGTCATGATCTGACTCACTCTAGAAGTTTCTCTCTGCCTGCTGTGGGAGATGGACTGTGGGGTGGAGGGTGGAGGAGGCCGGGGGCCAGGTGAGGAGGCTGCTGCGGTCACCTACAAGAGGCCCAGGGTGTCTTGGTGGGTGGTGGGCGTGGGCTGCGGCAGCTGGATGGTGGAGGCGGGCCCACTCTGGGCAGTGGGTGGAGGCGGCAGGGGGTGCAGGGCCTCCAGCGAGGGCTCAGCGACGTGCTGGCTGAGGGCCCTTCTGAGGACAAGGGGAGGACGGCGGCTTGGCGAGGGCAGAGCTGCTGTGGGGTCGGAGGAGGGATTGGGGGAAACCAGAAGTTCTGCTTCCGACCCCGTGTGTCTGAGGCCCTAATACCCCACATGGTGAATTTGGGTGGGTAGTTGGGTCCACGAGTCTGGGGTACAGAGGAGGGCCCAGCTGAAGGTCTGAATGTGAGAGATGTCGCACGGGGCCAGCGTTTGAGTCCTCAGAGCAGATGAGGCTCTGGGAGACAGCGGGAGGAGGCGGGGAGGACGGGCCTCCCCGCGGAGAGGCCTGGGAAGGACGAGGAGCCGTGGGAGGCGGGGCAGTGATGTGGGAGGGGTCCTTGGGGAGGCTGGGGCCAGGAGGACACTTGTCCCTCCAGGCTCAGCCTCGGCGTCGCTCTACACGCAGCAGCCGGGGAGTCTCACTACAGCACAAATCTGACCACCTCCTTCTCAGCCGAGAAGCTTCCTGTCGCGTCCCATTGTCCCCAGGAGGAATCCGAGCCCTTGGCTGGGACGCAGGGCCCCTCTTTAGCTGCCATGCCTGCCTCACCAATGTCCCCGCACACGGCCCAGGGCCCTTATCTCCCTGCACATGCTGGCTCCGTGCCAGGACCACCGTGTGTTCCCACCTCCCCCCTTTGCAGTGGCCGCTCCCTCCGCCAGGAGGGCCTCCTCCCTGCCCTGCCCGCCTCACCTCTGTGTCCTTCTCAGCCAGGGGTGGTCACGGCTCATGCTCCCGGAGCGCTGAGCGCCTGCTGTGATTGCTGTGCCGCTCCCGTGGGTCCTGGTTGTCTGTTGGAATGTTTCCCGGTTCCCCTCCCCTCCCCACTGAGGCTGAGAGATGGGACCTTGTCTGGGACGTTCCTGTGCTCCCAGCCCTGGTAGGGCTGGCAGAAAGCACATGTCCAAGATACCTTTGTGCTGGAAATGAGACAAGTACAGTTGTGCCCGTTTGGCAGAGGAGAAACCTGAGGCGCACAATGCACTATTTGTACCCGACCCAATAAGGACCAGAACCTCTGCTTTGGTCTCCCATGTCGTCTAAGGCGAATCAGTCTATTTGGTGCCACGCGGAATAAAAGGCCGTTTCTCTTTCTGTCTATCTAATAAAGCTCTGGTCTAGGGTGGAGGCGAAGGATGGCAGCACCCCTGTGGTGCTGACCTCTCTCCAGAGTCCCAACTCGGGCCCTTTCAGTCCTCGGTTTCCAGACACTCAGGGCCCCATGGCTGGTCCAGATGGGCAGTGTCGCCTACTTTCTTTCACGTGGGTCTACGAGTGCCAAGCGCAGCCACCGCATGCGGACGGTGGGAAGTTGGGGAGCATGTTCCAGTCTGGCTTGACATCCCCACAGAGGCCTTGTTTTCCCCCACGGGCCTCAGAGAGGCTCTGGCCCCAGTCCAGCCCAGTGTCCGGTGCACGGTCCTCCCAGCAGGCTGGCTCGGAGCTGGAGCTTCCGGGACAAGGCTCTGCACTGGGCACTGGGGGCCCGGCTGCCAGGCAGGTTCCGCCAGACATCTTCGTCCAGGTCCTGCTCAGCAGCTTCCGTGGGGCCAGGAGGTCCAGGGCCGGCCCAGCGGCCACAACACCCCTGGACGGGTGGCTTCTTTTTCTCCTCCCCTGACGGCTGCCCACTGCCTTCAGGGCCCTTCTGAGTGGGGCCCCGACAGGGTGTCCAGTACCACCTGCAGCCTGTCCTGCCGAGTCTCAGGATAAATATTTTCCTGGAGCCAAAACAGCCCCCTCCCTCAGGCTGGTTTCTGGTGCTGAAGCTGCTGGAGGAGGGTGGCGGGAACTGGGAGGAGGGTGGTGGGAGCCGCCCCGGGGCTACATCCTGCTGCACCGTCAGAGCCGCGACTCCAGGCAGTCACGGGGCCTCTGTGCCCTCAGTCTCCGTCTGCCCGGAATGATGCTTGTCTAAGGAGTTGTTGCGAGGGCCGAAGCGAGCTTTGGGAAATAATCGTGCCGACCGCCCCAGGGTGAACTTGGACTTCTCGGCTCATCCAGCTGTTCCCTCACCTTCACTGGCTCACAGTCTTGGGGGCAGACAGACCATGAGCAGCTAACGCGGACAGGACACGGTCAGGGACGTTACAGAAGCTCAGAGAGAACAGGAGCGGAGGGGGGTCCTTAGAGGGGGATGCTGCAGGGGCGTCAGGCGCAGGACTGGGCACCAGGCACGCCGTGTGCTGGGGTCACGTCTGAGGGAGTGGGTGTGGCAGGGAGTGGGCAGGTGCCCAGGCTGTGCCCTGAGGGCAGCAGGGCAGGGAAGGGGTCAAGGAGGGCAGGGGCGGCCACAGCTGCCTGGTAGCACCCGTCCTGGCTGCAGTTGGAGAATGGAGCGGGCAGGGGCGAGCGGCTGGGGAGCCCGGGCAGGCAGGAGCTGGGGGCCGGGGCTGGGGGGCCCTGGGAGAAGCCCACAGTTCTCACGCCTCTGCCTGCTGCCCCCTCCCTGGCCAGGTGCACCTGATGAAGCCAGACGCTGTCCCCAAGGCATGCTGCGCGCCCACCAAGCTGAGCGCCACCTCCGTGCTCTACTACGACAGCAGCAACAATGTCATCCTGCGCAAGCACCGCAACATGGTGGTCCGCGCCTGCGGCTGCCACTGAGGGCACCCCGTCCACTCGGCGCCTCCCCCAGCTCAGGCCCCTCTGCAGAGGCGGGAGCCCCTCAAACCCAGCCAGCCCCAGGCGGGGTTGGCACAGAGGGCCCTCCGAGATCAACATGTCTGTGTCCCTGCCTCCCTCCTGCCAGGCTGGGTCCTCTCCAGGCCCCTCCTCCTCTCTGCCCTGTCTGAGGTTGTCACAGACTTCTGGCTTCCAGTCCTCGTGTTCTGAGTCATCAAGCAAGCTTCTACCCCAGCCCCCTCACCCCTCCAGAGGCATGTGGTGACCAGCTCTTTGGGGCTGGCACAAAAGTCCTGTCTGTGGCCCAGGCTGTGGGCAGATGTGGGATGAACCGAGAGCACCTGGAACCCAAGATGGGCCCCTCAGGCTCTTCACTATCCATTCCAGGGTTTGCCGGTGTGTAGACAGGATCTGGTCCACCTCTGGTTGCCTGCCCTTCCCAGGTGCAAAACTGGGCATTTCTAGGCATTTCTGTTAGAGAGCGTGGCGTTGCCCTCAGTGTTCCATATTTGCATCTGAATTACCAAACTGCTGACCACAGGGTACGCATGTGGGTCAACTCAAGAAAGAGCTGAATGAACACAAGAGTTAGGGCTAAGGCCAATGGAGTTTACCTTCCCCTGTCTTTCTGCCTTGATACGCCTCTTCTGCCTGGGGCAGACATGCAACGCATGGACATTTTGCCTTTGGAGAAACAAAAGATCTTGGGGCCTTCGATGACCCATCTATCTGTCAGCATGGAACCATCAGGAGTTCAGCTCTGTGGAAAAGCTATCTTTTCACTGAGACAAGTACGGTGGATACATTGTGTGGCCCAAGATGACAATGCCCAGCACAGATGACATAATTTCCCTTGCCTTTCTGCATGGCAGACATCAATAATCAACCCCGATATTTTTCCTTCCAAATCTGGATAGAATTTCAAAATGATCAGCACAGAACTCCAGGCAGCCACTGCCAACAGACTAGAGTTGGCATATGAAGTGAGAATTGTTTGCCATCTCCTGCTAAGGAGCAATCCATTCCACCCAGAGCAATGCATCTTTGACACTGGGCAGCCTGTGACAAGGTGTGGGGCGAGGGTGGGAGCTTGTCCAGAAGTTGTCACAAACAGGCTGGTGACCAAAGTTTTTGTCACCTTGTATGCCCAGGAGCCCTGTCCTGTTTCTTGGGACCTGTGAGCCAAAGAAAAGGCTGCTGTCCCCGGGGAGTGACAGGTGGTAATTAGGCTGAGCTGGGTGGGGAGGTTCCCGGAAACCACTGTTCTCCTTGGAACAGCCGCAGCAGCTGGAGTGTTTATTTGATTTCTGACTCGCTAAGCCTGTAATTTACCTGCTGGCGCAGACAGAGTCCAGCTGCCCGAACCCTGAAATACTGTGTCATTAAAAGCAGATCCTGGGCCCACCCCAGACACAGGCACAGCCCAGCTGAGGCCAAAAACTGGAGTGTCCGAGGATGTGCAGCTCTGGAATTCACTCCACACCCTGAGGAGGGGCTCCGGGGAGCAGATCGGGCAGCAGGGGTGGAGGCTGGGGCCATGCTGCGGGACAGCAGCCCCTCCACCCGGACCTGGGAGCAAGTGCGGAGGAAGAGATCCTGCCCATGTGCACAAAGGGCAGCCCAGCCTGTCTGGAAGGCATTAAGGTCCCCATCAGTGTATGGCTCTGTGCTCTGGCCTAGATGCTAGGAGACCTAACTTGTGGGTAGCTTCCTCCTCTGGGCCTTATTTCCCATCTGTAACATGAAGGCCTGGGACTTTTTGATCTCCAAAGGGCCTTCAGCCAGGGAATCTGTGTCTGCCGACCCTTTCTCACACTGAGTCCAGATGCAACCTCTTCCCCCTGGATGCCGAGCTCAGGTGGCCATTACGAATCCAAACTGGCACATAACCCAGAACCTACTGGCCATTCTAGTACTTATCTCACAATCTTCTCTTCCCAACAGCAGGGAGCGTCTTCTAGGTGATTGTAAATTTTAAATTCCAATTATTTTGAGAACTAATTTTTTACTTCACCTGGTATCTTTAGTGCCCAGCAAAGTTGGGGGTGAACTAGAAATGTCTATAAATTACCCAAAGTTCCGTAGATGTGGAATACACCTTCCCTGTCAATCCAGCAGTGCACAGCAGGAAGGAATAGGACTTGCAGTCCTTTTTAATGCAGAACAAGTCAAAAACAGTAAGTCATCACCTACCTGCCTGTCAGACTTCTAGCAACTTTTGCCGCCAGACAGTCACCAAATGAAATCAAATAGAAAGAGCCCTGAGCAGTGAAACAATTCTGAGTGGTCACAAAACCCATGCATTTTGTTCCGTGAGTTATCTGGTTGCCGAGCCACACACGGCCGCTGCAGTGGGCGGCCCAGGCTGGCAGATGCGCAGCACAGATACCACTGTTTCCTTCTCTTGCTCAGGGCATGGCTTGTTTATCTGGTGGCACCAGACTTGAAGGATAAATACAGGTAGTCAGCTCAGACCCGGTGACAGCAATGCAAAATCAATGACAGCTGACAGGAAGGGAAGACGCATGGAAAAGGGGCTAAGGAGAAATGCACAGCAGACTTGGTATTTGCAGTGCAATACTGGCCTCATGACCAAGTCATCATAATGCCAGTGTTCACCATCTTCTAACTAAGGCAGGGAATTCACACGTTCTCGAAAAAACCCTCAGAAATAGGAAGAGAGGCAGCATAGCAAGAGTACAGATTTTTGGAGGCACGTGGATTTGCATTCTGGTTCTTCTTCCTCTGCGGAGCAGCAGACCGGTTCTTTCCTTCTGAGCCATCATAAAGATGAGATGTGGACACACTTAGGACATCTGGCACATAAATGCTTAACAACTGGTACTTGGTATTATCGCAAATGAATTTGCTAATTTTGAGCCCCTTCTGTGCTTGTCCACTAACCTTCCTCCCAGAACGTGTTCAGAGCTGTGCTTTTTCCTAAAAAATCTACACGCCACAATCCGTTGCGGGTAGGACCTGCTTTAAAGGTCTAAGCAAGAGCCTGGTTATGCCAGCCCTGGCTAGGGCTGGGACACTTTACCCTGTGTTCCCGGAGACTTGGGGACCCCAGAGGCCTGCCGGCGCTCAGCACTCCAGGTGCCTCTTTTGGCAATTTGAACGGGGGACTGTCCATTCTGCTTTTACTACTTACGGGAAGGCCTTTTGCAAATACTTGACCCACTTTTTTAGAAAAAGTGTTTTTCATTTACCACAAAAGTAATGTAGTTATGGAGGAAGTTTGGAAAAAAAAAAAATACAGTTCAAATCACCATAGTCCTCTGATAAACACACTATCAATATTTTGATGAATTTATTCCTAGGATTTTTTCTTAGGATATACATATAAACATATATGTTCACATATTATAGATAGGTATTTTAAAAAATTGGGATCATACTTTATTAATTGCTTTGAGATATGCTTTTCCTGCTTTGTTATATGGTGAAAATTTCCCTGTTAATAAATATTTTTCGAAAACATGGTTCTCTAGTTTTCTATCACCTGAAATCTTACGAGACTCAGTTTTCATCACTAAAAAGTAGGTTCCACAGTCTCTTCCTTGGAGGGTTGCTGCAAGGCTGCCACAACTGACGAATTCACTGTGCCGGGGGCATCTGGAGGCAGATATGCTATTAGAGAGGAAACTCCAGCTGTCACAGGACTGATCCGGGGCCACAACCCTGCGTCTCTTCCTCGGGCCAGCACTGAAATGGGGCCCGACAAGTGCAGGTCTGCATTGGCAAAACCGAGCCCTGTGTTCTTAGTCGTGGTGCTGGAGCAACAGAGCAACGGGAACGTGGACAGGGAGGCCACCGGCCAGGAGTCAGGCAGTCCCAGGAAGGCTGCACCCTGAGGTCCACTTCCCATAGGCCAGAGCCCTCTGGAGCAACAGGGCGTGGGCGTTGTGCTGTGTGTAGCTGAACTAGGCGGCCAGGCTGCTGCGCCCCAGGATCTGGGGCCCCCTCCTGCCTAGCAGAGTGGGGCCCTGTTTCCTCGTGTCTCCCAACAAGGGCCCAGACCACTCCTGGGGACCATGACTGTCTCTCCCCCTGAAGGCACTGGGCTGCCCTGCCACAGACTGACCCTAGAGCCCAGTAAACCTCCTAAGACTCCATTATGACTAGAGGGAGACGGCCAAGCTCCCGATCCCAGCTCTGCTCTTATGTCCCGAGCCCTGGTTTACCTCCGCACAGAGTTCTGGTGTGGATATAGTGAGATGACACCGTGGCCACCTGGAGGGGCACTGGCACCCAGTGAACTCCAAACCTGCTGAGCTTTCCAACCTGCTCACTGATCTCAACTGCCCTAGGCTCTGAGGGAAGAGCAGAAAGTGACAGGTCACGTCACAGGAGTCAGTCCTCTCTTGCGAGGGTGGCTGTGCTAAGCTCTTCATACACACCCTTTCTTGGTTCCTGTAAAAGCCCTGAAGACGCTGCTTCCATCCCCACTTCACTAAAGCCTGCCCCATCGACTGCTCTGTGATGGGCACAGCTTGCACTGAGAGTGGGGGCCCATCTTTGAGGGAGGGTCTCTTTTAGGAGCTCCATCAGGATCAGGGGTACCTCTATCATACATGCCTGCCATGAGACAGAAACCCGGCCAACTGCAGCAGAGGGAGCTCAGTGAGGCCTGGGAGTCCATTTGACACATGGGAGCCAAAGGCAGGGTCAGAGTGCCACACCCCTCACAGGAGCTATCCTGGGGTCACCTGCCTCTCCAGCCTCCTACCTTGTCCAGATCTCTCCTCAAGATGAAGAAGGCCCGCCCATGGACCCCAATGGTCTGAGTAACACAACCCACAGGGAGGTGGCTAGTGGCCTCAGGCTCAGTCGCTGCTCAGAGCCTTTAGCCAGGGAGGGATTCTTTCCAGCCACCCAGCTGACCAGGCGGGAGGGGGAGTGGGGAGAAGGCAGCCCAACTTGAGCTCCAAGCAGCAGCTGCACAAAGGAGCACCGGACTGTGAGCTCAGCATCAGGGGCACCATCTGGCTCATTCAGTGGTTGGCAAACTTCCTGTAAAGGCTCAGACAGTAAATATGTTAGGCTTTGAGACTGTGTTGGTTAATTTTATGTGTCAACTTGGCTAGGCCACGGTATCCACTTTTTAGTCAAATACCAGTCGAGCTGTTGCTGTGATGGTATTTTTCAGATGTGATTAACATTTAAATCAATAAACCTGGAATAAAGCAGATTACCCTCCACAATGAGGGTGGGCCTTATACAATCAGTTGAAGGCCTTATGAGAGAAAAGAGTAAGGTCACCTGAGGGAGCAGAAATTCTGCTTCCAGATGGCCTTTAGACCCAAACTGTAACATCAACTGTTCCCTGGGTCTCCAGCCTGCCAGCTTGCTTTGCAGATATCAGCCCTGCCAGCCCCCACAATCACAGAGCCAATTCTATAAAGTAAATTTCTCTCTATGTACACACATCCTATTGGTTCTGTTTCTCTGGAGAGTTCTAACACAGGGACCATACAGTGTCTGTTGCGAGCACTCTACCCTGCCGCTGCAGTGAGGGAGGAGCCATAGACAATACGTAAAGAAACAGATGTGGCTGCATTTTATTTATTTTACTTTCTTCACAAAAACAAGCTGGCTGTAGGCTGGCTTAGGCCCACGGGGTTTGCTGAGTTCCTGTCTCCTGACGAATAAGTACAGTACCTGGCACGCAGGAGGCACTTTGAGTTATAAAATATCATTTAAAAACTGTGTAGAATGAAAGTGAACAAATAAACCAGTGACCGCTGGGACTGGAGAGTCCACTTGCTGCCTCTATGATGGGCCGGCAGGGGGTCAGGAGGAGAGGCAGCACGAGACGGGAACTTCCCCACTATCTTCGATCCCACTGTCTCGACAATGGTCTGACAAGGGTATCTGGCTCAGAGATAGATCCCCTGGCATTTCAGGGAATCTGCCCAAGGGAGGAAAGAAAAGCTGTGGGGAAGACGCTGTGCCCCATCCCTTCGCCAACCTGTCTCAGCGGGACAGCGCGGCCTTCCGTGCCATCTCTGACAGCTCCCAGGAATTCGCTGTAGGCAGCAGAACAAGAACTAGGATTTATTTCACCAGAAGGAGCGTCCAGGAGCCACACTCAAGGGCCCAGGAGAGGCCCTGGCACAGAGGCCACAGAAAGGCCATGCACGGCCGTCCACAGTGGGGAGGGCGGCACCAGTGTTGGCTGTGGGGCCACAGCCACGCTTGGGCAAGAGCCCAGAGTGAGCCCAGGCCGTGCCCGCAGCAGAGCTGCCCACGCTGGCTCGAGGAAGGGCCCTGGCACAAAGCCCTGCTTGCTGCAAACGGGACACCCTCAGGTGCTGGCTCCCTGGGGCTGACGCTCCTGGATACGCAGGGGCAGCACAGAGACAGCGCCCATCACACGTACTCCCCACAGTCGGCGATGATCACCTTCTGCTTGGGCTTCCCGTCCTTGCTGCCCTGGGCCTTTGCGGTCGGAACAGAAGAAGAAGAGAAATCAGGGGATGGAAGGTGGAGAGGAAGGAGCAGCTCGAGGACACCCACCCGCCCCCCGCCCCCAGCCTTAGCAGAAGCAGCGGGGGCCCTCTCCCAGGCCACAGAGTGCCCTTGCCAGCTCTCCGCAGGGCTGCACACCAAGGGCCAGGGCGGCCACCCACCTCAATCTGCCGCAAGACGTCCAGGCCTTCCGTGACCTCCCCAAACACCACGTGCTTGCCATCCAGCCAATCCGTCTTGTCACACGTCAGGAAGAACTGGGAGCCGTTGGTGTTCGGGCCGGAGTTGGCCATGGAGAGCAGGCCTGCGGGAGAGAACGAGTGTGTTGGCTCCCTCCACCCTGGCTCCTTCAGCCCTCAGAGGACACCTGCCTAGAAGATGCGGTGGTGTAAATGCTGCCAGGAGGTGGAATAAGATGAGGGCTGAGAACTGACTATTGGCAAGACGGAGGCTGTCGGCCTCTTTGACAAGTGGTTTCAGTGGAGCGGTGGGGCTAGAAGGGGAGAGAGAGAATAAAAGGCCGGGAGTCTACACAACTTTTCCAAGAAGTGTTGCTTAAAAAGGGGATGAGAAGCATAGATGACAGACAGAGAGGGACATGAGTCAAAGGATGATTTATTTTATTTATTAATTTTTTTGGTGAGGAAGAGTGGCCCTAAGTTAACATCTATTGCCAATCTTCCTCTTTTTGCTGGAGAAAGATTGTTGCTGAGCTAACATCTGTGCCAGTCTTCCTCTATTTTGTATATAGGATGCCTCCATAATGTGGCTTGATGAGCGGTCCTAGGTCCACGCCCAGGATCCAAACCTGCGAACCCCAAGCTGCCGAAGCAGAGCGTGCGAACTTAACCACTATGCCACCAGGCTGGCCCTGAGGATGACTTTCTTTTTAAAGACTGATTCTGCATACTTTTATGCTGATGGGCTCATCTAGCAGAGCAGGGGAAACAGATTACACAAGGCAGTGAGGGGACAACTGCAGTAAGCCAAGCTCCTAAGGAGGGGAGAGAGGATGGGGTCCAGGCCACGAGCGTGATCGCTGGCCTCAGGGGAGACAGCTCATCCCCTGTGCTTGGAGGGAAGTCAGAGCAGGCACGTGTGGGTAGATGCAGCAAGTTGAGCATCAGCTGAGGCGGAGGGGGAGGGGGCACTTCAGGAATGCAAGCAGGTGCAAAGCCGTCATCTCTGCCTGGGACTGAGCACCAAGCAGGGAGATCAAGGGAGGCTGCCAGGGGCCCCTGAAGAACCGTGCCAGCTTTCAACTGGACCAACCAGTACAGTTGTGTGTTTTTCTCCAGATGCTGGAAGACAGACCACTGAGACTTTTTACTGGGTAAGTGACAGAGAGGGGGCAGTGGGACAGAGGGACTAAGAGAGAGCTTACAGTGGCAGCCAGAATCTAAGCTGCGCTAATAGGGAGCGTAGACACGATGGGGGCACGGACAGCATATGCGGATGCGAGCTCATGCCCTCCAGCCAGGCGGAGCGCCTCTCCTCTGCCCCGAGTCTCCCCCAGACCCCGAGCCCTCAGCCAGAGCCGCAGCCGTCACTCTGCCCTGCACACCATCCTGCCCCAGCCCGGCCCCACACGCCACCACCGGCCCCCGGTCCCACCTGGCCCCGTGTGTTTGAGGATGAAGTTTTCGTCATCAAACTTCTTCCCGTAGATGGACTTGCCACCGGTGCCGTTGTGGTTCGTGAAGTCGCCGCCCTGGCACATGAACTGGGGGATGATGCGGTGGAAGCTGCTGCCCTTGAAGCCAAAGCCCTTCTCGTGGGTGCACAGGCACCGGAAGTTCTCTGCGGTCCACAAGGAAAACACGCTGAGGTTAAAAAACAAAACAAACAAAGAAACAAACAAAACCTCCCTCTAACTAGACTCTGAACACTCCATTTGTTTAATGCTTATCTTTTCATTCTAAACCTCTGATACTGACATCTTGAAAGGACTAAAGGGGATTCTGGCTGAAGAAGGAGGAGTGAATACATGCATTCCAGCTCTGCGCCACAGCTAAACTGGTGGAAAAGCGATTTTTTAAAAGAAAAACCAAACAAGATCTGAGAAGAAAACAAAGGGGCAAATCTTTGTGACCTTGGATTTGGCAATGGTTTCTTAAATACAACACCAAAGGCATGGGTAACAAAAGAAAAAACAGGTATATGAGACCACCAAAATTAAAAACTTCTGTGCATGAAAGGACACTGTTTCATAGTGAAAAGGCAACCCACAGAGCGGGAGAAAATATTTGCAAATCACATATCTGATAAAGGTTTAGTGTCCAGAATATGAATTCCTACAACTCAACAAACAAAAACACAAAAAACCCAGTCAATAAATGGGCAAAAGACTTGAATAGACATTTCTCCAAAGAAAATATACAAATGGCCCATAAGCACATGAAAAGATGCTCAACATCATTAGTAATTAGGGAAATGAAAATCAAAACTACAACGAGATCCCACTTCACATCTACTAGGATGGCTATAATAAACAGACAATTAGTGTCGGTGAGGATATGGAGAAATCGGAACCCTTATACACTTCTGGTGGGAATGTGAAATGGTGCAGCTGTTGCAGAAGAGCTGGGCGGTTCCTCAAAAAGTTAAACGGAGAATTACCGCATGACCCAGCATTTCTCAGGTACATACCCAAAAGAACTGAAAACAAGGATTCAGACACAGACATGTACATGAATGTTCATAGCAGCATTATTCACAATAGCAAGTGGAAATAATATTCGTGTCCACCAACAAATGAATGGATAAACAGAATGTGGACTATCCATACAATGGAATATTATTCAGCCATAAAATGAATGAAGCATTCACACGTGCTACAACATGGACGATCCTTGAAAACATTATGATAAGTGAAACAAGCCAGACACAAAAGGACAACTATCATATAATTCCATTTGTATGAAATGTCTAGAATATGCAAATCCAGAGAGACAGAAAGTAGATTAGAGGTTACTAGCGGCCTAGGGGGAGAGGAGAATGGGGGGTTATTGTTTAATGGGTAGAGTTTCTGTTTGGGGTGATGAAAAAATTTTGAAAATAGTGGTGATGGTTGTCCAATATTGTGAATGCAATTAATGCCATTGAATTGTACACTTAAAAATGGATAAAATGACAAAAGAAAAAAAAAGGAGAGAAAGAGAGAAGAGACAACAGCAACAAAAAATTTTTGAAAGCTAGAAAACAAATAGATGAGTCATAACTGATACAGCAGACCTAAGAAAGCGGAATCTTATGCTGGTAAAGCAGAGAAGCAACTCCATGTATGTTGCAGATACACCAAAACCTCAGATACAAGGGTAAAAGTAGATCTAAAAACAGTAAGTCTAGTTGAAAGCCTATTTAAGAAAGTAGCTAACCCCAGATCCGAGCCTCTCCCCTCCCCCGTCCCAGCTGGAAGTCTCCTCTCTGGTAGGTTCGAGCTGAGGTCTCTGCACTGGGACGCGCCACGCACAGCTGAGGGTGGAGGTACCGTAATGGCAAATGGAGGCTAAGCGGAAGTTTATATACCGTCTCCCTGCACCAACAAGGCAAACAGCTGGACACAGGGCCTCCAGCAGGAGACTTGAGTCTTCTCTGGGGACTCTGCTCTCTCCAAGAGAACATAACCCAGGGATACCCACATCCGGGATCCGACAGAGAGAATCACCCTACAGTGGAAGCCTCAGTCGCACCCCTACCAACGTCCAGGGAGTTTCCAAGCAGACTTTTCGGGCCCCATTCTTAAATATGAGGAAGACATCTGATGTGAAAAGCAAAGACCAAAACAAACAAACAGACCCAAAACCAACAAAGCAAAAAATCCCAGGAAAAAGCAACCTGAAACATAAACTGTATCAGAAGAAGAAACTTTAGTAATATCCCAAGATGAGATTGTATTACATCCATGAAACAAGCACAGAGCACTACCAAAAAGAACACTTAGAAAAGTTCCAGAGAGAAGAGAGAATCAGAAGGGACAGAAGCAAGGAAATAATTCAAGGAAATTTTCCCAAACCAAAAGCTAAGACTGTCCTGACTGATGGGCATGGTACGCAGACTAATGGCTCTCCAAAGATGTCCCTGCCCCAGTCCCTGGGGCCTGAGAACACGTTATGCCGCACATGGCAGAAGGTATCTGCAGATGTGATTAAGGTTCTGGACGTTGAGATGGGGAAAGCAGCCTGGAATATCCCGGTGGCCTAACACAATCACAAGCCTATAAGCAGAGAATCTTTCCCAGCTGAAGTCAGAAAGGGAGCGTTAGAGAGGAGCGACAGAAGAGGAGGCAGGAGAGATTCATAACGTGAGAGGGGCTGGATCCACCATTGCTGGCTTTGAAGATAGAGGAAAGGGGCCACAAGCCTCTAGAAGCAACAATCCTCAGCTGACAGCCAGCAAGGAAATGGGTACCTCAGTCTCCAGATGCAGGAAACTGAATTCTGCCGACAGCCTGACTGACCCTGGAAACGGATGCCCTAGTGTTCCCAGTAAGGAATGTGGCAACCTGGCCACAATCTTCATTTTAGCCTGGTGAGCCCCGTGTTGGACTCTGGCTTACAGAACGGTAAGATAATGAATTTGTGTTCTCATAAGCTGCGAAGTTTGTGGTAATTTGTTAGAGCAGCAAGAGAAAACTAATACAATAGGGCCTCCCAAATATCCAGCTTGATGGATGGAAAGACATCTACTCCCAAGGCACACAGTTTCAGAACACAGGACCCTCCAGCCTGGAGACCAGCGTTCTCTAACAGCTTTTAAGCACTTGGATAGTGTAACTGAGGAACTAAATTTTAATTTAAATTTAAATAGTCACATGTGGCTAGTTGCCACCGTATTGAACAGCCCAGCTCTAGACAGAAAAAAAAAGAGATTCTGTACAAAGGACCAAAGATCAGAACGACATTAGACTTCTCTAGAATTCTACACCCAAACTATCAATCAAGTGGGAGGGTAGATAGTTGCATACATTAGTCTCAAAATACTTACCTCCCAAGTTCTTTTCTCCAGAAGCTACAGAAGTACGTCCTCTACTGAAATAAGGGAATAAACCAAAAAAGCAACAGAGGTTCCAACATAAGAGGCAAAAATAGGAGATCCCACGACAACGGCTGTGCAGTGGGCCTGGAGGGCAACCCGCCCAGGCTGGAGGAGGTCAGAAGTTCTCCCCGGAGGAACGTCCACAAGAAAGTGAAACTGACAGAACATCTGGTGGGTTTGAACATGATGAGACATTTACACTGGCAGGAGGATTTGGGAGAGAATCAGGAATAAACGCATAGAAGACTAAGCAAATGTGAAAACAAGACAATTACAAATTCCGGGGAAAACAAAATGCTATGCGGAAAGGAAGTTATCACAGGATGATGCTTATATAGTTAAAGTGACCTGGGACCCAACCGAAATTATGGAAACGACGTGAGAAAGATGAAGGGGCAGCAAAGGTGACTTAAAAAGCTAACAATTCCTTCTCTTCTGAGGTGGGAAGCTAATAAATAATGCTTAAAATGAAAAACCAGGAAGTAGCAACATAAATCTGTTACCTACCAACAAGGAGGTAAAAACCAAGAGAATCAACTAAGAGTTGAAATTGGCTGCATCTGAGGAGAAGCAAATGCTGTCGGTGGTGGGGCAGGGCGGGGGCACAGCACCAGGGGACTGCTGTTTTTCAAAACAAGCTTTTTGAAATTGACTTTTTAAACTATATAATAAATTTTAGATTAAAAAAAGAATAAATAGAGGTCAATATTTAAACCTGGAAAGAATACTCAAGAAACTGTTAGCAGTAGTTACTTCTTTTTTCTTTTAAAGATTTTTTTTTTAAGTATGCTTTTCTTTGGTGAGGAAGATTGGTCCTGAGCTAACATCTGTTGCCAATCTTCCTTGTTTTTTTTTTTGCCTCCCCAAAGCCCCAGTACATAGTCGTATATCCTGGGTGTAAGTCCTTCTAGTTCTTCTATGTGGGATGCCGCCACAGCATAGCTTGATGAGTGGTGGGTAGGTCTGCACCTAGGATCCGAATTGGGTGAACCCTGGGCTGCAGAAGTGGAGCGTGCAAAACCAACTACTATGCCATGTGACTGGCCCAACAGTAGTCACTTCTAGAGAGTAAGGCTGAATGTAGAGAGAGGAAGAAGACTTAAGCTTTCAGTTTATTACTTCAATACAGTTGGAATTTATGTGTGGTATTCTTTTTTTTGGTGAGGAAGATTGTCCTGAGCTAACATTGTTGCCAATCTTCTTCTTTTTGCTTGAGGAAGACTGCCCCTGAGCTAACATCTGTGCCAATCTTCCTCTATTTTATATGTGGAACACTGCCACAGCATGGCTGATGAGCAGTGTGTAGATCTGCACTCAGGATCCAAACCCGCGAACCCCAGGCCGCCAAAGCAGGGTGTGCGAACTTAACCACTACACCACTAGGCCAGCCCTCTTTTTTTTTTAAGCATGAATACTTGTTTACTTGTATTAAAAACAAAAGCCAAAAAACTATTATTAAAAAATTGTAAACCACCACTTATAAAACTTCAAAGATGCCAGTTGACTCAGCTGTTACTAGGTCTCAGGATACGAGATGCAAATCAACTCAGGTCAGAAACAATGTCAAGGACAGAAGAACTGAGGCATCGAGGACCCTGGGAAGGCTCACAGCTCAGCCACCAGCTTCCTGGCCGTCCTGACCGGAGCCCTGCTCACCTACTGTCATGGGAACGACGTCTGAACGCAGGAGCATCTGGATGCGGCCGGCTGGCTTGTTCCCAATCTTGATATCCATGTACACCTGAGGGTTTGACCGGGCCTTTTTTGCAGTGGGCTCTCCCTAGGCACAGAAGAAATCGCCAGGTTAGAGAGAACTCCCCAACTCCCCAAGCAGGGAGCGAGTATTCTTCTGAACACACGCCCAGCACCCAGCTGCAGCGAGCAAGCTGGAGCAAGGTGCTCACAGGGAAGGCCTTGGGACTCCATGGGGTCACAGAAGGTGGGGGCGACAGCCACAGCACGCAGCTGGATGTCTAGTGACAGGAGATCTCAGCACTATCTACTCGAGCCCCACCCCACAGGCACATGTTATCTCGTCACACTGGCCCTCATACACATCAGCTTGCTTCACCCTGCCCTGCACTCACAGAACACTTTTCTGGCCCACAAGACCCAACTCTCAACAACTTCAAACCCCAGTGCAAGCCCACTCACCTCACTCCAGTTAAGTGGACCCATTTATGTAACACCATCCCCTCCTTCTATGTGTAGCCCTGGATACCCATAGGCTGGCTACAATGGAAGCAAGGAGGGCAGCCCTCTGGCCTGGGTCTAAGCGCTCAGAAGCCAATGGAGGAGACTGGGACCTCGTTTATACCCCAAGTAGACGTGAGGCTAAGCAGAGACATTTAATACAGCTGTCGCACTTGTTCCAAAGAGAAAAGTCAAATGTTCTTAACCTGTTTATGGTTTGGTTTAACAAGCACGTGTTGAGGTATCATGCTGGGCACTGAGGATACTATGACTATTATTTGCCACTAACAACACCAGTGACATAGCAGCAGCAGCAAATACTCACATAGCACTTGCCACGTACCGGGTACGATTCTAAACGCTTTATGTATATTACCTCATTCAATCCTCACAACCACCCTTATCAGTACCACTATCTTCCCCATTTTATAGATGGGAAAACTGAGGCGCGGTAAAGTTCAATAACTTGCCCAAGGTCACAGAGATGGCAAGTGGGGAAGCCGGAATTCAAATCTAAATGCTCCCCGCCCCCCACCCAAGTCCACGCTCATAATCACATTAACCCACATTTTTATTAACAAGCCTAATACAAGGCCCTACCCTCACAGAATTTACTGCCTAGAAAGGGAAAGGCAATGAGCTCTTGAGTAGCCTGTACACAAACAAAGACATAAAGGCAAACACAAAGACTGGCTCCACCAAGAGCGTATGGTGGCCTGCAGCGTGGAGGGGCGGGCAGGGTCAAGAGCTCGGAGAGGCCCTCCCAGACTATCCTGCGGGCCAGGGATGGGGAGCCACTGCAAAGCTCTCAGCAGGAGGGTCAGACGATTAGTCTTATCCTTTAAAAAGATCATTTTAGAGGTCTTTGTGGAAGCTGGAGGAGAGCAAGACTGCAGCCAGAAGACTAGTTAGGAAGCTAGTGCAACTATCCAGATGAGATGAGAGGCTCCACTAGGATGACGGAACAACCAGGGGAGGTGGGATTCAAGGAAGATTTAAGAGGAAAAGTTAGCAGAATATAATAACGGATTGGCGCTAATTTTTTTTTTTTTTTTTGAGGAAGATTAGCCCAGAGCTAACATCTGCTGTCACTCCTCCTCTTTTTGCTGAGGAAGACTGGCCCTGAGCTAACATCCGTGCCCATCTTCCTCTACTTTCTATGTGGGACGCCTGCCACAGCATGGTTTGCCAAGCGGGGCCATGTCTGCACCCGGGATCCGAACCAGCGAACCCCGGGGTGCCGAAGCAGAACGTGTGCACTTAACCCCTGTGCCACCAGGCCAGCCCCAAGGATTACCTCTATTTTAAAGAGGGGTCTAGGATGCCCTAGCGTTACTCCACTGTGAGGGCCATTTATGGTGCTCTGCTTTGTGTCCAAGTTTCTGGCTTGGGTCAATGTGTGGATGGATGGCAGCAAATTGACAAGCTAGAGAACACAGGAAGAACAGGCTTAGAGAAGGGAGGGCATCCATTTTAGGGAACTTTAAGCTGCCTGTGAGACTTAAAGCAGAAACATCTAAAGCTCAGGACTTGGGACAGAGACCAGGAAAGTCAATAGCACAGGAGAAGCTGTGAAAAATCAGAGCAACTGCTACTGTTCTGGCCGAGAAGAGAGATCCATGAGCCAAGAAAGAAATCCAGAAGAACAACAGTCACAAGGAGGGGAGCGGAGGCAGGGGACTGTGCTCAGAGAAGTATGCTGAGTCAGGAGCAAACACCAAGGCAGGCTCTCTTAGGCAGGGAGAACCCTGAACCTATGCACAGACTGACAGGAAGGTACCACGACCCTATCCTGCCTCCCCTGCGTCAGGGCAGGAGCAGGAGGCCTGTGTCGCCTCGGTGAAGGAGGGGACTGAGCAGGAGGGTGAAGGGGAGCACTCATGACATTCCTCACTCAGGCCTGCGGGACCTGAGGGGAGCAGAGAAGCTCAGGACGCAGAGCACGAGGATGAGAGAACCAACGCCTCTCTTTCTAGTTCACTTAATACTGCCTTCACCAAAGGACTAAGAGTTCATTCTTTACTCTCTCTGCTTTTGTACGCACACTTGCAAATTCCCGTAAAAACTTAAAAAAAGAAAAGTCTCCTGCGGAAAGCACCAGCCTCCCCTCTGGCAGCCCAGCCTTCAACCTCACCTCCTGGGTTTCCACTTTGGGAGGCTCTGACCCTTCTTCCTCTTTATTCTCTTCAAGAGTCTTCCCAGAAAACTTCCTCAACCAGTCATCATCTGACCAAACTGCAGGGAAAGAATCAAACAAACGTGAAGAAACTCAAGCTATCAGCCAACTGCTAATTAGCTGCTTTGGTGAGCAAAGGAGAACACACTACGTGGCCCTCTGGGCTGGAGGATTCTGTTTTGGGAACTCCCAAGGGTAAGGAAAGTTCGTGGGGAGTGTCAGCCCTGAAGGCCAGCTCTCAGCAGGGCTAAGTGAAAAGGTATGCTAAAGGGAAAGGCGGAGCTCTTGCTGGTTCTAACCCGGGAGCACGCCAGGAAGGGAGTGCCAAGAAAACTGGGAGAGAGGAGATCAGGCAGGGTTTGTCTCATAAGGGGAACGATTACCCTGAGAAACGCAAACTCTTTATTCCCCCACAAAGGAGGCGCATGGCCTTCACCAACGTGGACATCCTCTACTCCTGTCCACCAGGAGTGGCACTCATTCCAAGTAAATACGGATAAAATTGCAACCAAGGCCACAGTGGAGGATGTGATGGGGAATGTGTGGTTGCCCCCACTCACCTGGTCTGGAAGAGCCTTCCTTAATCCTCATTGGTTTGGCCAAATTGACACGAATTGTCCGTCCAAAGAGCTCAGATTCATTCTGAAAAGATTAAAAATCCAGCTGCTTAAACTGTTAGGTTGAAAGAGAGTCAGACAGCTTTCCACCTGCTTCTGATACATCTGAGACTTGCTCATTTGTTCTCCCTTAACCCCTGAGCCCCTACCAGCGAGCTCTGCACCGCCACAGGGCAGAGTGGGGTACAGGGAAGTTCCTTCCTGGAGCCCTCACACACCTCCCGTCTTCCACCACCAGCAAAGACCTGTGTTACCAACAGCAACTCCAGGTTCAGGGTGCTCTAACTACAAGGATAACTGTAGTTTCCAAGTCCCTGAGGTCACCTTCCAAAGCCAAGATCAGCTTTGAAATGGTGAGAAGTGCTCTCTCTCTCAGAGCTGAGGAATATATTTGGTGAATGGGTAACAGAACAGGAATAAAGGAGAATCTTATTATCCAAAGATAACTGGTACCATGAAAGGTCACTTAATGTGGTTTTTTTCTTTTTGAGGAAGATTAGCCCTGAGCTAACATCTGCCGCCAATCCTCCTCTTTGTGCTGAGGAAGACTGGCCCTGAGCTAACATCCGGGCCCATCTTCCTCCACTTTATATAGCGGACACCTACCACAACATGGTTTGATAATCGGTGCATAGGTCCGCACCCGGGATCCGGACTGGTGAACCCCAAGCTGCTGAAGTGGAACATGCAAACTTAACCGCTGTGCCACACGGCCAGCCCCAAAGGTTACTTAATGTGAATCCATTTAGAGAGCAGTGAAGAAAATTTCATGGTAAAAAGTAAAGGAAAAAAACTATTTGACTGGGACTTCGTTGTGATGAAACTAAAAATAATGAAAATCAATTTATTATAGTTAAAATTCAGGTTTAACTACGCACTAATTTGTAGAACAAAGAAGGTGCCAATTAATTTGCAGTATTTTTTCCAACAAAAGTCTAGCAACAGTATGGTATGACATCTTTGCACTTCGTATCTGATGTGAAAATCACAAGGATCTCAAAGAAGGACTCAAGAGCTTCAGCATTTTCCCCAAGGACCTCTCCAAGTGATTCAAATCATTTGCAATGTAGCACACCCTGTCATTATCCTTATCGAATTCCTCTTCTCAGCTGTTAATTCCTCTAACACTTCGTGAAATCCTACCTCGTTGGCAAAATACGCAATTCACTGTACAAGCAGTTTACATAGTATTTGCAATTTATTATCCTAGACATGGGGCAGCCAGTGAGAGATTGGCCAATAAGGATGATTCAGATTTATATTATTTGGGGAAGGATGTTTGAGTAAGGGCTAATCTTCTAAGTCATCAATTCACAGTGAATATTTTCACGGGATGACAATATTTACTTCCCCATGTAACTCTGTAGGTTCACCCTTGTAACTTTGGAGGTTCAGCAAACCAATATATGAACAAGGACCCTCTGTACCACCAAAAAGCTTTAGTAAGAATGAAGATTCCCAGCCGTACCATGTTGTCGATAGCTGCTGCAGCATCCTGCCAAGAAAAGACAAGGTAGGAGTTTAGCTTTTTGTGGTGTCTAAAAACATACTCAGTAGCAATAAAAACAAGACAAAGTCACCTCTATCCTTCCTGCCAAGGGGCTGTGTGTGTCTCACAGAGAGCACCTCCTGGCTGACTGAGGAGCTGGTGGTACAGCCATCTGCCATCGAGTGGGAGGCATGAGAACTAATCACCAGCGCTGCCAGGCAAGAATGCCAATGGGCAGGGCTGAAGGAGCTCTGCAGAGCAAGAAGGGCAGGACCTGGCAGGTCTGTGATGCCAACCATGGTCTACAGTTTGATTAAGAGAGGGAACTTTCCTTCAAACAGCACTTCTTGTCTTTCTGGAAGCATGAGCATGGGGCCGAGAAACCTAGCCGAATGGAGAACAGCTCCCTTTGTCATCGGTGGCAACACTGACACAAGCCAAAGACTAAACATAGCTAACAGAGAATCTTCTCACCTCTGCCAACTCAAATTCAACAAAAGCAAATCCTCGGTGCTTTTCTGAAAAAAGAGGAAACAAAAACAAGTAATTGTTTTGGGGCAAGGGGAAGAAACAGATGGTCACAATGGAAGTGAAGTCAGTCACGTGCCTTATCCAGACACTAGAAATTCCACCCAATCACTATGTGGGAAGAAGGAATCTCACTCTTTGATTCTTCTTAGTCTAAATGACATTTCAAGCAATACAGCTAATGAACATAGCTACTTTTTTAGTGAAGACAGCTAATGAGCTATACTTCTAATCTTTAAAAACAAGCATTTGATTCTTCTACCAAAGCCAAATTAAAACCTTAACCTTTGCATGCAAGGCAGCTAGAAAAATGAAGTCATTTAACCTATCAATTATTTATTCCAAATATATACTCTGAGCATCAACTGTGCATAAAGCATGAATCCTAAAACCTGGATAAGGATGCTCACTCAGCCTTTATCTTCAGGAAAATGCTGATCTAACTACAAAGGGCCAACCACAACAATGTTAATTTAATTTCCCAAGTAACCTTAGAGAACGAATATAACCTTATCATTTTTTACAAAGGTCCCAGGCCCAGAGAGTTTAAAGACCTTGCTAACAATACATATGCAGGATCGATCATGGAGCTGGGCCTAAAGCTCCAATCTTAAAAATGACAACAAAGGTAAAATAGAAAACTGAACTGTAACTGTGATACCAATTGAAGGAAAACTTACCCAGCTGCACAGAGGCCAAGGCCCCACTGTTGGAGCTGGGTTTTCCTGCTGCCCTGTTTAATAGCACAGCTGCCAAGAAGGGGGCAGGTATGGTAGGGTACCCGGCAGGCACTTTGAAACAACAGTCAGATGTCCATGTAGGTCAAAACCTATCTTCCTTCTGGGCTACCGAAAATTTTGTTATCTCAAACCCAACATACAGGACTCTCTGCAAAGTTATGTTATAGCTCACAACTGCAAGCCTCAGAACATTCCTTCTGCATCAAGATCACCGTCATGCTGCCCTACTGAGGCACCCTCCTCCCAAACTTTCCTACATACCAACCATATTTAGAATGCTCTGTGATATGCCTTTAAAAAAATTTTAAGTTCTTTTCCGAGTAGGAGAATTCTGAACACGGGAGACACTAAAAGGACTCACCTGTTTCATAATCCAGAGGAATCTGAATATCTGTGATGTCTCCAAAAGGTATGAAAGCAGCATGAAGAACTTTGTCGTCCACTTCCTCTGCCAGTCCACCTAAAAAGAAGCCAAGAGCCTCTGAACCACTGTCCTCCATTCTCTTGAGAAGTCCCTGCAGCCCAGTTAGCATGCTATAGCCACAGGGGAAGTGTCTTTCCATTTAGTCTTATGGGTACATAAGCACCCCTCTCATCTGCTCCCTCACCCTTACTATGAAGCACACTTCTCTCTTCACCCTTCTTTCAGACCCCTTCATCTAGCCCCAGGATTACTGCAATAGCTTCTTCCTTTTTTGTGTGTGAGGAAGATTGGCCCTGAGTTGACATCTGTGTAAATATTCGTCTATTTTGTATACTGGATGCCCCCCCACAGCATGGCTTGATGAGTGGCGTGTAGGTCCGTGCCCAGGATCCCGGGCCTGGGAATCCGGGGACACCAAAGCGGAGCTCAGGAACTTAACCGCTACGCCACCGCCACCGGGCTGGTCCTGCAATAGCTTCTTAACCGACCTCCCTCTCCTCCACACAGCCAACTACAACGATCCTGGGAACGCGCAGATTTTAACCCATCACTTCCCTGCTTCAACTCCTTCAAAGGTTTCCCACCGTCCTCAGGATAAAGTACAAACTCCTCCGCAGTATATACAAGGCTCTTCATAACCGGAGCCCCGCCCACCTCTTCAGCCTCTTTCCCTTTGCTTCCCCAATTCCCTGGGTATCCCGCAAGATGACACACTTGCCCCCAAGAGTAAGACTCTTGCACACCTTTGGGCTTTTGCTCTTGCTGTTCCCTTTCACACTTGCCCCTACTTTGGCTACCTGGATAACTCAGGCTCATCAGCTCCGGCGTCACCGCATCCTGAAAAGTTTGCTCTCACCTCTCTAGATGGAGGGGTCATTTCTCCCCGCACCCAAGCCCACGTCATCTTTGTCCATCCCCACTAAAGCGCTCATCAAACTGTGCTACTGGGGTTATTCTCATTTCTACCTGGCTAATCTGGGAACTCCTTCCTTTAGGGTAAGGACCGGGGCTGAGCCATCGCGACAGTGAATGTTTGCAAAATGAATGGGCGCGAGGATCTGGAGGCCCATAATACCCCTCTATCAATGCTCCGAGTCCAGGAGGTGAAGAGTTCCGGTTAGAGTTTAGCGGACTTGAAAGAGATCCGGAAAAATCGTGATGTTCGGGCTAACACTCTGAAGCAAGGCAATACTGCCAGAGATCCGGCCTAGACAGCTGTTCGTCGCCCTCTGCGTCCGGAGACGTGTCCCACCCCAAACCCGGACCCACTCGGGGCCGGTTCGCCGGCAATCTGCCTAGCGCCCGCGACTGCTCACCCACATACAGCACGCGCTTGGTGGTGGCCATCTTACTTCGGCGCGCCCGTGCCGGAAGCCGCAGCTCGGCCCGCCCCTTCCCCGGCCCCGCCCCGCGCTCGCAGACCCCGCCCACTCCAGCGCAGGCCAAACGCGCCTCTGGCCCTGGTAAGTGTCGGGCGCTGTGTCAGGTGCACCGTGGGGAACAAAGTGATGTGGTCCTGATGCTTTCGATGTTCCAGGTGCTCAGTGCTGCAGGAGACAATACTCGGCCGAATCAGCCCAGGTCGGCAAATAATAATCTACCGGTAAACCAGGGTTCGCGCGCCACCCACACCTGCCTGTTTCTGGGCAACCCGGGAGCTGCGAATGGATTTTACAGTTTTAAATAGTTGGAAAGAAAAAATCAAAACAAGAATAATATTTCGAGACACGTTAAAATTATAAGAAATTTGGTTTTCAATGTACATAAGGTTTTATCGGAACATAGCCACGATCAATCTTTTGAGTATTGTATGGCCGCTTTCACACTCCAACGGCGGGAGACCTATAGCCCGCAAGGCCTAAAATACTTACCACTTGGCTCTTTAGGACAAAAGTTTGCCGACTTTTGGAATAAACCAACAAATACATAAATCGCAGATTGACATACGTGGTAGACAACAATGGTTGTCTGAGGTCACATTTAAGCTGAAACCTGGAGGAGGAGGAGCCAGGGAAAGGAGGAAGCAGGAAAAAGGATTATAGGGAGAGGAGATAGCTTCTGCACACTCAAGGAACTGAAAGGGCAGTGTGGAGGGAGAGGGGGGTGGGGAGAGGGCATGAAATCAGGCAGGAAAGGTGGGCAGGGGCCACACCATGCAGGGCCCTGTAAACCGTGTGGAGGATCTGGGGGCTCTGAGAAGCTGTTGAAGGTTGTAATGGGGAGTTCCATGGTCACATTTATGTTTCAAAATAGTTCTCTGACCACTATGCCCAGAATGGATTGGGTGGAACCGTGGAGACCAGGAAGCTAATGCAGTAGCCTAGGGGATAGTTGATGGTGGGTCTCTCCCTCCAGCCCACCCTCCAGCTGGTTCGCAGGGTGATCTTTCTTCAGAAGAAACTTAAATTCTCTAGAGTTCCCTTCTTAATTCACTGCTGTTGATAACAAGGCTCCTAGAGCCCTTGACAAGGGGTCATGGCTAGGTCAAGTCAACCCCAACCTACACACCAGCTCTGGCCCTTACCTCGTGCCCTTTTTCCTTGCCTCTGCCTCTGCTCCTTTCTCTCCTTTCTCCATCTGGAAGCACCCAGCAGTCCTCATCGGAGGCCCTAGTTAAGCTTCACTCATCCAAGCCCCTGTAGACAGAGGCCATGGCCCCCAGGTCTAGAAGTCAACTGGAACATTCACACTGTAACTGTAGTCAGGTGTGTCTGTCTCTCCTACTTTGACACCAAGGCCTATGGCCCACTGTGTTCTCAGAGCTAAGCAGTGGCTGCACACATAGCCCACCTCACCAACCTCAGGCCAAACAAGGGGGATGCTGCTCATAGAAATGAGGCTGAGGGGGGCCGGCCCAGTGGTGCAGCGGTTAAGTTCACATGTTCTGCTTCGGCGGCCTGGGGTTCGCCAGTTCAGATCCCGGGTGCAGATATGGCACTGCTTGACAAGCCATGCTGTGGTAGGTGTCCCACCTATATAGCAGAGGAAGATGGGCACTAATGTTAGCTCAAGGCCAGTCTTCCTCATCAAAAAGAGGGGGATTGGCAGCAGATGTTAGCTCAGGGCTAATCTTCCTCAAAAAAAAAAAAAAAAAAGAAATGAGGCTGAGGGATCTGATTATGAGATCTCCTTGTGTACACATCACTATTCCAGACCAATAAGGTCACTCTTAAGAAGAATCTGACATATATCCTTTATGTGGGTGTGGTATAATAAAAAATATATTTGGTCTTTGTCCCTAGTACCTGGCACAGCGCTCCTAAAACCCTCCTGAGTGATGAGTGCCTTTTGTTATTCATGATGAACCACTCTTGACCGTACCTGAGTTTACACCAAGGAGGTGACTCTTGGCGAGGTCCTGTATGTGTCAGGATTCTGCAGAGAAACAGAACCAATAAGATACATATCTATAGGCAGAGATTTATTATGAGGAATTGGCCCATGCAGTTATGGAAGCGGAGGAGTCCCACGATCTGTCACCTGCAAGCGGAGACCCAGGAAAACCAATGGTGTAAATCACAGTGCAGGGCAGGAAGAGACGAGATGAGATGACCCAGCTCAAGTAGCCAGGCGGGAGAAGGGGCTCATTCTCCCTTCGTCCACCTTTTCTTCTATTCAGGCCCTCAGTGGATTGGATGAGGCCCACCCCCACTGTGGAGGGCCATCTGCTTTACTCAGTCTACTGATGCAGATGCTGATCTCATCCAGAAACACCCTCACAGACACGCCCAGAAGTAACACTTGGCCAAATATCTGGGCACCTTGTGACCCAGTCAAGTAGACATATAAAATTAACTGTCACAGGCCCCTAGATAACTTCAAGATGGGGGCTGGTCACCAGAGGAACCAACCACACGACTAGAGGGTTGGAACTTTCAGCCCCACCCCTTGATCTTCAGGGAGGGGAGAAGGAATGGAAATTGAGTTCAGTCAGCAATGCTCAATGATTCAATCAATCATACCTAGGTAATGAAACTTCACATAAAAGCTCTAAATGTGGTTTGTTTGGGGAGCTTCTGGTTGGTGAACACATCGATGTGCTGGGAGGGTGGCATCCCTGGAGAGGGCATGGATGCTCCACTCCCTTCCCTCCCCGACCTTGCCCTATGCATCTCTTTCATTTGGCTCTTCCTGGGTTGTAGCTTTTATAATAAACTGTAATCATAAGTATAGCTCTTTCCTGAGTTCTAGGAGTTGTTCTAGCAAATTATCGAACCTGAGGGAGGGGGGTTGTGGGAACCTCCAAATTTGTACTTGACTAAGCAGAAGTGCAGGTAGCATGGGGACCCCATTTGTGGCTGGTGTCTGAGTGGGGGCAGTCTTGTGGGACTGAGCCCTTAATCGGTGAGCTCTGTGCTAACTCTGGGTAGTGTGGGGGACAGGTCTTGGCCACGCCAAGATATGTCTCTTTGGCATGAGGATTATTTGAGGCTGATTGCTTTTGATAAACTGGGACAGGGAAGGAGGCTCTGAGGGGTAGAACTTGCTTGCCCTTTGTTAGGAGACATTTACATTGTAAAGGAAATCTCTATCTGTAAAGGTGCCTCCCTCTCTGTACCAGGAAGAAGAAAGGGGATGACCTTCTCTCTAGAAACTCTTAATCAATACCAAAGTCAAGGACTTAAATCTGCATAATAATCTTATTCCTGTTTCTGGTAACCTCCTGTAACTGACTTCCTTCCCCCTCCCAAAGTTGGCATTTTTTTAAGGATTAAGCATCTTTCCTTAGGCTAGGAACTGATTGCTTCACTCACCTGTGACCACCCAGCTCAAGACTTGCCTCCTGCTGTGTCCATCAAGTGCTGTGCCAACAGGGCAATCTTTTGACTATTGTGGGAGGGACATTTCAATCATGTGTGAAACACCCGGTTTGGGGGTATATAACCACTCTGTGCACCCCACTTCTTCGGTGTCCTTTCTTCCTTTGGGAAGAAAGGCCCCGGGCCATGGTCCTCATAAAGCTTTGTTTAATTTTCTCTTGCTATTCTGTCTCATGTGAATTTAGTTCGTTCTCCGGCCAGACGAACCCATATTAGGTAGAGGAAAAGTCTTCCTCCCCTACAGTAGTTAGTGTCAGAATTGACTGTAGTCAGGTGTGACTGTCTCTCCCCCTTTGACACCAAGGCCTGTGGCCTGCTGTGTTCCCAGAGCTAAGCAGTAGCTGCACACACAGCTAACCTCACCAACCTCAAGCCAAACCAGGGAGATGCTCATAGAAATAAGGCTGTGGGATGTGATTATGACAACGCCTTATATCCGTCATTATTCCAGACCAACAAGGTGATTCCTGAGAAAGATCCAACCAGGTGCTCTTGTCGTTTGCTCCTTATAATTTACAACCTGTACTCCTCTCTTCTCCATATTAACTCACCTAGATGACAGGAAAAAAATCCAGGTGCCAGCCTGCCCAAGTTACCAGGTTAAGTGGCAGAAACATGGTTCTGTACACCGCCCCTAATCTTTTAGGAAGATATTTGCAAGTCAAAACCATTGCAGAAAACAAGAACAGCCAAACACATGGTTTTTCCTTGTCTAGGAGGTACCAGCAGCGACAGCACCACCTTCTGGGCAGCTTCCTTCTTGGCGTGATGAGCCTGCAGAACCGCCACAGCTTCATCCACCTGTGAGAAATCTCCAGGGGCTCAGTGACATCTGAGGAGAGCCCCTCCCACTCCTCTCTGGTGCCGACCACTTTCCCAAATACCACACCCCAGCCGCCCTCAAATCACAGGCGAGGCCCAAGAAGGTCATGGGGCAGCAGACCTTTCTCTCTGCTGCTCCCAGGTGTCCGAGGCCGCCCCTCGTCCTCCCGAGCTGAGTGAGCGAAGCCCCAGGGTCAGAGAAGCAGCTCATCTTGGAGCGGAGTGACTCAGGGGACTCCAGCATGTGCAGCAAGCTCAGAGTTGTCGATCTCCAGCAGCATCCCTGTAATCTTTCCAGCCAGGTTTGAATGCATGGTCTGTATGAGCGGGAACAAACGTTCTCCTGTGGGAAGAGATTTCATTAAAAAGCAGGTGAAATCCCAGTAAAGAGTGGACCTGGTATCCAGGTCAGTACCAGGCTCTGGCCCCCTCTTCTGAAAGCACGTGGGTCACTCACCCAGCATCTGCTTCTGTTCCTCGGGGGGTGCTGCAGCCAGCATGGAGGCGGTCAGGGGCTCCTGCCCCTGCACGTGGACCGCAGGCTGGGGTGCCTGGGAACCAGAAGCAGCGGGTCAGCACCAAGGAAAGGACACTTGACGGTGGTCGAGATTAGGACAGTCCAACCATTCAACACCTGAATGCCACCATTCAAAATGCC